GTCCGTATGTAAGCGTAATGGTGCTTGCACAGTGAGACTATGCTGACAACATACCGCATAGGCTCCGTACTTTAGCTGCTTACATACAGCATGAGATCATCACAGGGCTAGGCTCTGCTCAAGGCTCTAGGAATTATGGTACAGTGTCAAACTACGGTCCGTGTCTGCAGACTATTAAAGAAGGGGAGGGGTAGATGTAATTGGTGAAGAGTAACAACCCTCCTATGTTATTACACCTGTCATGTGAGATGGAAGCAAGTGTTATGTGAGGGCACATTCATGTTGCTCCCATCCTATGTGGTCTCTACTACAATTACATCAAAGAGAATGACCAGAAATGGGTTCAAAGGTCGAATGAGTTGGGTTCTATAACATACTGGACAGTGACAAATGTTACCGAGGTCAATATCCTACACTAACTATTCTACAATAGACCAAACACTTTACATAAAGCTGGTCCTGATTTTATCAAAATCAATAGCTTTTGTAACATCTGTTTACAATAGAAGAATTGATTTTATTTTTAAAAAAAATGAAAGGTGCATGATTCTGCGATTTATCAAAGTGGTTTCAATAAGACGATAGGAAGAGCACACAATTACAATAGGAAGAGCGCACAATTTCCCTTTTTACTTCCAAGAGGAATTCAACCAATAAATCCGATGTTACGAATCTAAAGAATAATATAATCTGTAATGAATTACACAGAGCTAATAGTAGTGATAGAACTACACGAATAGGGCTACTTCAATAACATAGACAATAGATTTCACTGCAAAGAGCCTAGTTTTTTTTAAACTGAAATTTCAAAATGAGACAACTTCATCTTTTATTTATTTTTAAGTATTTAATTCTTGGAGTTCGCTGCCAGTTTTCTCTTTGCTCAGCCAAAAAATCATTCATTTTGAGAATAACTTTTATATTATATATCAGCTCTCTTTTCATATCATCACCATTGACTGTTTGAAAATGCCCAGGTTTTGAGGTCTAGTTACAGTTACGTTTATAGTATTGTATAAAATGTGTTTACATGATAATTTTGCTATTAACTGCACCCAAATTCAACAAATTATGACATGGATGTAGGTTTTACATGTAGGTATTGCTTCCTTCCTCATTTCCAATACGGCTGCTGACGTATTTCCTAATCCACTCTCATCACCTTTTGCATTGATGAATGCAAGATTAAAAGTGAAATGTGAATGCTGCCAAGAGTTGGGGTAATATTATTTTGAATACTGGAAAAAAAAGGTGTGAGGTAGTACCAACTACCCCTACACCTGTAAATACAGTTTACTTTTGCATACCCTTACCAAACTTTGTTATTTTCAATTAGTATGTGAGAAATTGATTTGTTCCAACTTGAGTTTCTTGAGAATGTGACATAATAAAGCTTACATCTAAAAGTATTCAACCAAAGGACCTAATTCAACCAATTCAACCTTCATTTCTTGAGTTATTAAAAACACCACCAAAAGAAGGGGGAAATCTATTTTACAAGGGGTATGTCAGAATAATTTAGTTGTTAAAAGGGAAGTCCTTGTAACTCAAAATTACAATTTTGATTGGTTTGTCTGATTTTTCTGCTGCTCTTTTCTTTTACAATGACAAGATACATGTATAAAAGTTTGACTTGATTCTAAAGTTTACTTTAATTTTCAATAAAATGTATCTATTTTTGTCCTACTAATGCAATATTTCATATCACTTTCCATACAGGGACACAGGATGTTCACCAATCATTTATCCTAAACCTGCTTGCCTGACGGACATAATACCCCCACACAGCTCATAAACAAACATTCTCAAGTCAGTGATTCCTGCCCGCAATGTTTAGGTTATTGGGCAAACATCCTCTCCCCCTTCTGTTTATTTGGCCTGAGATGAGCCATTGAAATTCTTCTATCCCTCCTCCTCGATCCTCCTCATGCTCCTTGATTTTGTTTTATCTCCGAACTTCACTTATTATGGTACTGTCCCTACATTGGGAACACACAGGATAAACAGAAGAGTAAGGCCTACTATTTGTGTTTAATTTAAAGTACCGGTATCACTTGATGTGCTTAAAACACTTCTAACAAATTTCCACATCAGGGGGCGTTTCACAAAACTTGTCATCAGTGACAAATGACAGTTGTTGTTATAAGCTACTGAAATCCTTGCTTCTGATTGGTTATCAGCAGATTTGTCACTGATTTTTGTAATTTGTCATTGAAAAAAGGCTTTGTGAAACGGGGCCCAGGCCTATTTACACAGCCCAAACACCATTATGAAAAATCATCAATTTTTTTGAACTGCCATTTACAAAAACATACAAAACCATTAGTATTCGCTCATTCAGATTTTTCAATTTGGGTTTTTCGTCTTGTTTGCTGGAAGTTTATCAACTTCCAAAATGGGAGCAAATTTGATAACTTTTGCTTGTAAATGCACTTATAATGAACCTCACATAATCCCACTTTTTGTTCAAAATTTAGAATTTGAAAAAAGTCATTGAAGGGGTGATGTATTGTGACCTGATTACTTTGGCTCTTTATTCAATATTTGTGTTTCCTTCTTCTCAACAGCATAATTTATGGGAACATCAGTCACTTCAGATAACATCACTACCACAGATAAAACCAGAGTGCTTTCTGTACCATTATCACTTTAGGAAATGATAGTCTATAACAACAGACCCGCAAGAGATATTGGCTGCATGTGTGAGGAAGTTTTTGTTCAGGATGAAATTTACAACAAAAGAAGATGGCAGAAATGGGAAATAATTGAGGCAGCAATGATTCTGCTGAAAGCCTGAAATATTTTTGAACTATATTCTGCTTTAAAAAAAAATCAACTGGTAATCTACAAAAAAGTTTTTTGAAAGAAAATCACTATCCTCTTTAGAATACTACTGCAATGCTATAAATATCAAGTGGTGAATAAAAAGAAAGAAAAGAGGAATATTTTATGTTGATTCCAAATTTTCCAATCTTCCAAGATAATTTTTTCAAGTGGGTCTCTTTTTTTTATAATTGTCATCCAGATCATGGACCATATTCCATGAGAAAGAAGTGTTTATAATAAAAGAGAGTTTGCATCTCCAGACTATCACCTGGTAATAGGGTAAGGATTAGAGGTAGAGGTGTTAGATGAGACATGTAATTACAGATCCCCTAGTAGCCTATAATCTAGGCGGAGTGCCGAGCTTTTTTCTTTGCTGCTAGACTAACCCTAAGCAGAACGTCTGATACGGCAAGACTACGAATCGTGAGTCGCGAAGCGGCTCACCGCCTATAATCACTGGTCGTATTCATGAGGTTTTTTCGTACGAAAAACTGCCACGGATTCATGGTCGATAATAAAAAAAACAACGACTAAAGCTACACCAGTGATTATAGGCGGTGAGCCGCTTCGCGACTCACGTTATAGTCTCGCCGTATCAGACGTTCTGCTTAGGGTTAGTCTAGCAGCAAAGAAAAAAGCTCGGCACTCCGCCTAGATTATAGGCTAATCCCCTAGCAGATTGATATATTAAGTTAGTCTGCAGCTTCAGACCTTTCATTTATGACAAAATGAATTTCCTTCATATCTGAGAAAAAATGAATTTACTTTGTATCTGAGAAAAAATTATTGACACTTTCCAACAGTACTGTATTATTTGACATTTACATGTAAATTGAAATGAGCACTTGCAATCACATTTTCCATCAGGGTTATTCCATGGATGACAAATTGAAAGACTGTCAAATTCTGTTAGTTTACAAGTGTCCTGACAAACTATCGTTGGTCATTAAGGAGAATAAAATAATTGAAAATCATAAAAGTATTGACATTTTAGTCTTGATGCTTCATTTAAATCGGAAGATAAAATAACATTTACAGAATCACATCTCACTCTCAGGCCTTATTATGTGCTGATGTCATCTTTATTTCACATATTTAGAACTACTGTAGCTGTAAATTATCATAACATTATGATAATCTATAAATACTTGTGTTTTCATCCAATCCTTCTCAATCCTGAACTTTCGTGACCTCAGATGTAACCCCTGTTTCCTGGCCCTATGGCTATGGAAATTACATCATCAAATGTATCTTCCATCAAGCACACCTGCTATAAATTGACCAACAAAGGATGAGAAGGTTTGATTGAAGAATATATCTCAATTTGGACCACAAAACACTAATTCTTTGACAGTTTGATGCACAGATACCAATGTAGGCAGCTGTTTTTTAAATCCTCAGTTCTCCTCCCATAGACCACACACATATTACACTGCACCATTCACAACTTCTTTGACAGACACACCAGTAGTCTGTGTTTGCATACCCTGTTAGTGCTCTACCAAACACACTAAAATTATCCTCTTGACTTGAGTGAGTGTACATGTACATGTAAAGTAAATTAAATAAAAAGTCATACATTTTGCAGTTAACCAAGTCAGAAATTCATAAGTTCTGTATTTCAGGATTTTGAAAGATATATTTTCATTGCAAATTTAACAAAATAATGATAACATTCAGTTTAATTTTTAAATGAATAGATTTTTGGCTAAAAACCAAAGCACATCGAATTTTGTAATAAACCATTGTATCAATCAATAAGAAAATAGTCTGTGAAAGTATGACAATGCCTTCATAATATGATATATCCAGAAAGTCATTATTCATGCCTTATGGTTATTTAATACAAGTAATGACCTTTCAGTGCTATTATCTATCTACAGTCTTCAATTCTTTCCAATTCTACCTTTAAAAAAAAAAAAATCCTGAACAATTTTTCATCATAAAATCAATTGTTATCCTAAACAATATTCAATAAATAACAGATCAAATCTTAATTTTCTGTTCCCAAGACCATGAATTCCCAAAAGGGGTCTGCACTGTAGACTAACATATAACACCAAACCAGAGGAGGAGGAGCTTAGTAGTGATGAAAGTTTCCACAACTAGCCAATCAGAACACAGGAAACTGTCTGGACACAGTGCTTCTATACACACCAGTGCATACTGGGTCTGGGAAACTCTATCATCATAATCCTCCCACTCGCACTTTTCTCCTATTCTCAAACACATTTACCCTCACTAACTTGAGGGAGGCTGCATAACAAATCAGGGGAAACAAGTTGTAAAATTTACCTCTCTGCGATTTTACATCTCGAAAACACCTTCTCAGCTGGGGGAATGATAAGCATGTGCAGCAGTGCTTCAATGTGCATTTGCAATCATAGATTTGACAGCGCATCAACTGATTAGTCGCAAAAGGGAAGCACAATTGGACATAATCTGTATAGTACATGGAAATGCGAAAGCCATTGGGACAGAAAATCTGCTCTTGACATTTTTAGACTGGCGAAGAATTCAACTTGAGTTTCTCTCCAGCTCTCTCTTGGCCTGAGGTCTATCCCTTTCTGGAGAAGAGAACTTGGTTTTTGTTTGGATGTTTCTGGTGAATTCATGGATGATTTAGCTGGAGCCACCATCAATTAATACTCATTAGCATTACAAGACAACAGCCTTGGATTGTACACATCACTGGAATCTTTTAAAAGCGTATCAAATATTAGTTTCTTTCAGCTGCTGTGTTATTTTGTCTCTGATTTACTGTGCATCTCGTTCATCTCCATCATCATGAACAGAGCTGTGGAAGCAAGTTTTCTATGAAAATTTGCAAAATACATGTCAACAACATCATCGTCTGATCATCTCGTATTTTATATTCTTGGGAAGCAGCTTCAAATCAAGTTAAGCCAAAATCAGGCTGTATTTTCTACGTTCAGAACTTCAGACTTTATGTTGAGCGGTTCTCTGTTATTCAACTTCTAGAAGTGTAGAGTTTTTGACAAGCATCTTCCATATTTGGGGCTAGGCCTACTTGGGACTTCTGCTTTTATTTGGAGCCCGGCAAATCAATCATATGACTTTCAATTCTAATTTCTACCAAAGGACGAGACTTGAAACAGGACTTCATCAGGAGAATCACATCACAGGGACTGATTACTGGTCCTGATTATCTCCTCCCATCTCATCTCGCACCCTGTATCCATCCATTCTCGCTCCCAGCTCTCTGGCACAAACTTGAACCCTGGCTTACGAACTAAAAAGGATTACCCTACGCAGGACCTGCCTCTACATTGATTAGAGAGAGCTGTCGAATGGATTGATGGTAAGAGCATTCTTGGAATACTTCGGTCAGACTCTTGGATCTAAATGTATATAATCACTCACGCCTGCTTGATGTTCACTTCACCCGTTACATTATAAGCATGTATTTCGTAAATCAATTGCTTTTAATAGACAATATATCCTGAAAATTGTTTTAAATAGATATTGACTGTATTACGTAAATCAATTACTTTAAATAGTAGCTAACAAAAGATCGGTCTATTTATTTTTTATGTTGAAATAGAAGGTAATGAAGCTGTTCATTACTCCCATTCAAACAAATGTAATAAAACATTATTAAAGGAATAACTAATTATGTAGATAAACTTAGAGTATGAGATAGTTTTGCACCCTACATAGATTCATTTATATTTTTAAATAGTCATCAAGTAATTTTCTTTCTTTTTGTAAGTAAAAGCAAGTATGAATTTGTAAATGATACAGGTGAAACAAACTTGTTTGATAACCATTTAGGCCTACAAGTTGATATCAAAGTTACATTAAAAATTATCCTTAATATTTACAATTTACAGTTATCAGTGAAAGTGGAAAAGATCACAGAAATTATTGAAAAATAAATATGAAATTACATTTAGATGAGCACTATTAATGTGTATATTTTCTGTAACACATTCAAATACAGCTCTTATCTGTCATTGTCAGTTAGCAGATGTCACTATCATCCCCTTCACGACTTCAACCAACCAAAACTTTTCTGAGGCATAAGATAACATACCGATATCTTCAATTTCCTTCCCCATGCCCAGCAGATATTTGAGAAGTTGGGCATGTGTTCGTTTGGGAACCAAAAATCATTACTGTGCAAAGATAAAAACAGATAAGTGAAACATGGCCATAACTCTCCCTCTCTCTCTCTCTCTCTCTCTCTGTTTACTTTATTCAGGCATGGAGTTTATATGATGGTCTGTCCTGTGAAGCAGTTATCACCAAGCTGAATCGCGTGACCTGGATTACCCCTACATAAAGCTTGTACTATCAGAGGAAAAACAAGGAAAGATTATATGCTTCGCCATGCAAACAAGGGAAGGAGCGTGACCACTTTTCAAGCTTATCCACTGGCTTGTTCTTTTTTTCCAGATATTTTCTGAAGAAATTTGAAACAGCAATCCTCTGTGACATTTCGAACTAGAATATTTACTTGTTATTTTAACAGTACCCAGGTAGGCCTCATAATAAACAATGGATCTCCTTTGTTTTACGTACTCTCTTGCTGTTACTCTTATGCTGACAAACTGTGTTTCCATGGTTACTGGACAACTAGAATCTATTCGTATATCGCCCAATGACCAAAGTATTCGCGAGGGTGGGGAAGCGCGATTACCCTGTATCTTGCAACAACCTGGAATATGCAATGTGTATTGGTACCGCAAGGACATGCAGACGTATTTCTTCCGGAATGCTGATTTCATGCCACGCATCCCTTCCGAAGTCAGTGAGCGATATTCGATTGCTGGGAACGCATCAGCAGGTGATTTTACTCTGCGCATTGTGAATGTTTCTTCATGGGACGATGGAGAATATCAATGCGCTTGTTACGCACCATCTCATAAGGATACTTTGACCTCCGATCCAGCAGTTCTCCAAGTTCTTATCGCTCCACCTGATGAGTACCCTATCTGTGAGGTACGGAAAAGACATGGATTATTGTTGCCAGGGGATGAGGTGGAATTGATATGTCGCTCAAGTGAAGGTTCACCTGCGGTACAGCTGGCGTGGTACAAAGGAGATCAAAGACTTCATTCTGAAATGTCTTGGAATTATGAGATTGTTGCTAAACACAGAACCGTTGTTACGCTGCGGGATAATCTATCAAACTATTACTGCAGAGCGGAGGGTGAAGCTCTTTTGCTGCCACGGAACTGTACCGTTGATCCTGTTGCCATGGCAGCCCCTCCACCTGTTCAGATCGACTCCAACTTTCAGAAAGTCTGGCAGGAGTTTGAAAGCGGAACGCTTCCGTTGACTGGAGGCCAGCCTCGATCCCGGGACATGATTGAACTGAGCTTTACGTGCGGACCGAGCACCAACTTCAGTCGCGATGTGAACAACTTCACCTGGTATGTCAACCATGATCCTATCCGCCCCGAAACTTTTGGATATATCTTGGAGAATAACGGGCGTACCCTTCGCGTAACTGACTTGTCGATTCTCTACAGTGATATCGATGTCGAGATTGTGTGCGAGTTGTCTAACAATGGTTGGACGGTATCAAATAGCACCACAGTGGTGAGTCTGAATGGCAATGTTCTTGGAAAGCCAACAGCCACCGTGACAAAGACAGAGCTTCCTACTGCCCATGACACTGACATTTTAATCAATAAGCATCCTAGCAAATGGAGGCTCTGGCCGATCTGGCTGTTAATTGTTTGTGTTCTAATGTCTCTTTTCTTGCTCATTCTTCTGGCTATCTACGCACCAGTTATTTGTGGCTGTAAAAGGAAGAAAGCTAAGAATTCTCACGCTCACTGCCATCATGGTGCCACCACAAAATCTGAATTTCATTACACACACTCGCAGGGATGCAGCACTCTGAGAACCTCCCGCGACACGTTGAATGTATACGAGTTGCCCGAGAGCGAACGTGGTGGAAGTGATCAACAGAGGCAGCAAGTGCAAGCGACGCTACATGTGGTGGTTCACTCCGCTAATCACTCCTCCAACAGCCCAGTAGACAGCATGCCCGTCATCTCCACCGCCGAGACTATCGTGTCCTCAGACTACAGCACCAATGACTGCCTGGCCACCACATCCTCCAAAGCCATTGGAAACTACTACCATCCCGAGGTGGGTCACTACCAGAAAGTCCGTCCTGGTGCGCGCCCCGCCCACTTCAACTCGCAGCTCCTTGTTCCCCCTTCACCAAGGCCACACCCACCGGCGAGGACCGACTCGTTGGAGCCTCATTACCAACATCCGCGGTCGCCCATGTGTTGCATCAACAAAACATGGGGGCATAACGTAAGGCATGAGAAACCGTTATGCAATCATGCCCCCCTCGCTATGTCTTCCCAACCCGATGTCACGGAGGGTTGCTATGTTCGGACATTACCCCTTCCGCCTAACGAGGTCAAACAGGCTAGGTTGGTGTACATGGACACTGGCCCACTTGATCAAGTCGGCAATGGGACTGTGTATTCTGATGTTCCTTTGGATGATGGGGACAACATTTACGAGAACATCGAAGGGGAAGAGGGAGAAAAGGGCAATAAACAAACCCTTGTATAATGTTTGTTCATGATCAAAACCTACCTGAGAAATACATGAAGATGTAAATTTACATTGCTCCGTTATACAAGTATGAAATGGAAAATCAGAAATTAACAATTATCTTGAGTTATATTCAATATGAAAATACTGGAATTGTCCTCTAACTTGGTGGAAACTTTATTAATATACACCACTACAAAAACTTAGCGTTTTGTTTGTGTTTAAATTGTTTGTAAGAAAATTTTTGAGTTTCTGATGAAAGTTTTAGTATTTTGGGGAACTGAGCAACACCACTTGAAGATGTATTCTCAACATTGAATTTTGAAATGCAGGAATGTGTAGTTGGTGATGCTTTATAGACAGTGGTCAAATGGCAGAGATATTACATGCGTTACGAAAATGGTCTATTAGTAGTTTCTACCTGTATTTTATGAATTTCTTGTAATCTTGAATTGTTTCCTTTCATTTCTACAAAAATCAACAATGTATTTTCATTAATTTTATTCACCAAGCTGCCTACCTCTAAGTTTATTGTTGAATGAAATAAGGTGTTTCTTAGAACTTGGAAATGACATAGGTACTCAGTGTTTATTTCTTACTACTATTTCTCCCTTGCACAAATAGGTTATGCTAGAAAAATGTCAAAAACATGTTCGTTCTTCTTTGTCTACATTCGTATTCTATCGCCAATTCTATCTCCAATTTTAATGCTATTACATCATGAAACCGTGATATCAGTATCATGATATAATAAAATGCTGCGCATCTTCAGCAGTCTCTTATTACTGGCCAGATATAATCAGATTATAAAGTGGGGGAGTTAATTCCTTAATGGTCCAATGACCTCCATCAACATCTCCAAATCACTCCTCCTACCAGTCTCCTTGGCACCATCATTTTGATTCTGTGAAGTCCCCAAGGTTTCAATTATCTCATCTTGTTCTTTCAATCATGGGTATTACAACATCTGTCTATTTAATTGAGCTGACAGACTGATGCATCAAGTCATCCATTTCATTTGACGGGATGGTTGAAGGCTTGTATTTTGTTTTTATTTTGGAATGGATTTTTGAATAGAAGATTAGATAAAGAAATACCTCAACAGAATTATTAGAAGTCATGAAAAATGTTAAATGTGTTGTATTTGGGCAGAATATATCTTTGGTGTAGACTGATTACAAATACCTTGCAAAACTGTACCACAAAATTGTAGTAAACGTGCTATTATATAAATAAGCTTCTTTTATATATCATATTTTTCTTTAAACAACATACAACATATAATTTAGCCATTCTAGAGTTCTAGTAAATACCAAATCAATTTGTCAAATTGATCATGTCTGGATCCAAGGGTTTAGTAGTGAGTTTCTTACCCCTGTTTATTTGATTATTATTGGTTCATACAAAAGAAATTTCAATTTCCCCTCTTCAGTAATGATTTTGAAATGTCATTCTGTCTGTATGATTTATAGGACTATTTATTTATAACATGATTGGTTTTACAGTAATGTATTCAGTGACCACTTATCAGGCTAACTAATTCAATTACAAGCCACATTGTTCCGATTAAGAAATTCAATATTTGTTTATGCACGATTGCACATACATGTACTGCAACGTTTTTCGACTTCTTGAACGAATACTCCTATATCCAGTGGGGTTGCTAATTCAAATGAATAAGTGGTGTTTGGTCAAATTTCATGGAATTTATTTTTTCCCTAATTGGTGATATTTTACAAGTGGACTCACACAGCTGTTCTGATTCCAACAGGTTTATGACTTCATTTACAGCTACATGCAGTATTGCAGTTACCATATTTGCTCTAGTACTTTGGAGGAGGTGGTAGGTAGGCTACATGTATGGGCTGTACCATTATTATCATCATCATTGAAGAGTGTAGGGGTTAATGTACTCTTTGAGGTCACTGAACTTGGTTATGAACAGAGGTCACAATTTCTATACTAGTACATAAATATTGATGTACAATAACATTTGGAACAGGAGGGGGTAAGCATATATAAACATGTTCTCGTACCTCTGCATATCTTTGCAATTTCTTTTTATTTAATGTGATGATGTTTTGATAGCATGTTTATTTTTTTCTGGTGCATTCTGTTGTTAGTGATGTAAATATTTATTTTCAAGCAAATATTTGTATTTTCACCAAAGAAACATGTATGCTGTCTGTAGCTGCATGAAAAAATGGCGGTGGATACTGTTGTAATTTCAAACTGTGTATTAGAAGAAAAAAAATTTGACCATGTTTGTTAGGTTAATAAATAATAATAACAAAATCAATGTGATTGCCATAATTTCCAACTGAAGTAGGCTTGAAAAGATATCAGAATTGACTCAATGATCTATATAGTGTAAAGTTGTCAATAAATGAGTTGATAATTTGATAATTGATATGCAATAAATTGCAATTATGCATCAACTTCTTTTGTGAGATTAGAAAATATATGTCTTCTCTCACTAGACATATGGTCTAGATTCAGGTTTTACATCTAGGGTAAAGGGTTAGTTATTGTACTTAAATTCAAATTCAAACCACTTAGACCTAGGCTAATAAACACAATATAATGATAATGACTATTATAAAGCAAAGGAACTATTTTCACGAAAAAAAATGGAAAGAAATAGAAGTTTCAGGCTAAAGGATTATTGTTTCCTGTTACAATGAAATAAATCTCATTCAAATGTATTTGTGATTGGAGTGCATTGTGTTATGTCCTTCTGGGGTAAATACTATTGCCCAATCGATTTGTAGTTAGATATTACCCTACATTTTTTTGTGGGGGGGGGGGGGTCATTGTTGGTGCATTTACATTACTCAAGAATATATGAAGTTCACCTCTAGACATGTACATGTATGCCTTTATCAGGGGTGATAGTGAGCACTAAAAAAAAAATAGGTTTTTTGTTTTCCCCTCAACCACGCCCCCCTTGAGTAAAAAAAAAAAAGGCGATTCGCGGGGAAAAAACGGCATCTAACAACATTCCCCCCTTTCGAGTAAGAAAATTGGGAGAAAAAAATAGGGCAAAATAGGGAAGAATAGAGAAAATAAGGGGGGAATCAGGAAAATCAGGATAAAAAAGGGAAAAAAAAAAATCTGGTAAAAAAAAAAAAAAAAAAAAAAAAAAAAAAAAAAAAAATTAAATCGGGAAAAAAAAAAATCGGGAAAAAATCGGGAAAAATAAAAAAAATCGGGAAACCGATTTAAATCGGGTTTTTATCAGGCCTGCTTTATATCTTTATCTGTATTTAACAGGAATATTATGAAGCGTGCATTTGTGATGTGTATGATTCTAAATATTAGTCATCGATTGTAAATAAACTTATTTTCTAAATCATCAAATCATTTTTCTCACTTTGTTTCTTTGTTCCATTGACTTGTATATGTACATGAAAGATTTTTACAAACACAGACAAAATTTCAAATGTTTTAATTTTGCTTTATCAATAAGAGTTAGAATAGCGAGAAATTGTATATACAGTCTTTCCAAGCCATAGAAAATATGAGAAAGATGAGAAAGAGATGGAAATACATGAGGATGAAAGAGAGTGATAATGAGTTTGAGAACAGAAAGAGAAAGAGTGTGAAGGAGAGAAAGAGAAAGAGTGTGAGGGAGAGAAAGCGAAAGGGAGAGAAAGTGAAAGAGAGAAAAAGAGGAAAAGAAGAGAAAGAGAAGAGAGAGAGAAAGAAAAAAAAGGAGGGAAAGAAGGAACAGAGAGAGATAGACAAAATAAACTGAATTTTCAAACTTAAATTTACAATTTAAGTTTACAATTTAAGTCAAGCAATTTGATAAAGACTGGAGTCATAACTTACGTTCGAGCACCAACACAAAATCTTGGATGATAATGATATGACAAGATTTATTGCCAGACATGAGCTACAGGTAATTGATAATTTATTACATAATATTCAATTATCACATTCCTTTTTTTAGATCACTATCACTCAACAGGTGCCAAAATACATTACTCTTCACAATTACAAGGTGATATTAAACAGTTGGGACAATTTTTCTTTTCAAAGCTCTTCTCTTTCTTTCTTTTATACGACAACAAAAAATCTTTAGAGGAGCCAAGTGTTTTGTTTTTCCCCTCAATTTCGGTTCTTTTGATGAACTTGTCCTGGCTTAATTGTTACCCATGCTCCACCATGTTATAGTGGTCTACTTTCAGAGAGACTAATTTGAAACTTCATACAGGTGAAGACAAAAAGAAATCAGTAATTGTACCTTTAAAACAAGCCATATTTCATCACTTGCTGGTGCAACTGGAGCAGAAAAAGAAGAGGTTTTAACCCTGACAAGTCAAGTGAGCACAGTGGGTCACTTCATAGCGCCCAAGGAGAGGGAGAGGGAGAGGGAGAAAAAAGGGGGTTTGTGATAGGATTGACAAGGACGTCACAAGAACAGAGCCCTCAGGCCGCCCACCACCAGATTACTGCAGCAATAATAGCCTGTTCAATCCAGAGGACATTTACACACAAACTTGTATAAAGAAACATTGTACATGTATATTTATATTTATATATATTTATATGTAGAATCATTGTTTAGCAAAAGGGAAGCTTACATTGGATAACAAGTTTGTTGCCAACAACATACATGTATACAGATTGTTGTGCATGTACATGTATAAAGAAACTAGTTGAGAAGACAAATAAGCTGGCCAATCACCAGTGGCGTTCACAATGAATGAGCCCCGCCCACTTACATGGTTTTCATATGATACAATGTTTAGAAAAGAATAGGACCCCCTGATTTTTTATCAAGTTCGTGTTTGAAATGATAAATAAACTTGTATTTCACTATACAACGTTTCATTCAAGATGTTTCGTTAGATGTACAATGTTATAATACTGATGTTCAGACAAGGAGAAAATCAATTACTTATCATACAGCTATACGGTTTTGGTACATTGTGGTCTGAATGGGGCCAAGAGGATGTGATTACATCGAGGGCAAACAATGATCTACACTGTTGGGCTAAGGGGTTAGTGTAACTGCAACCCAACCCATTGGTAAGATGCCCGGCAGGGAAACGCATGTGTGGGACTGTTGTTCTAGCAATTTGCTCCCATCTTATGAGGTGTGATTAGCAGCAGCCTAAGCGCTCAGGTAGACAGGTGACCCAAGGGGGATAATCGTTGGCAGGACTGGTAGAACCTGCAGGAGAGCACTTGAAGTTAAAGTTGAGTTCTGGTTTTGTGTGATTGCATTGTGAACAAAATGATATAACAGTTCTTGATAAAGGAGTTTAAATCATGTACATGTAGCTTAATGAATGAGAACAGTTGTGTAATGTGACATTATGAGGTATGGTAAATCATGAAAGGTCAACTAAAATTGTCCTAAAGATCACAAACAATGAAAATCCCTGCACACAGATGTGGGTTCATGGGACTATAGACCCCAAAATTAAGGAAATTCAAAATTCAAAATCAATTCTAGGTAAAAAACAAAAACAACAAAAACAACTTATGATTGGAAGATATCATTCAAGAGAAATCCTTTTCATGCGACACCACTACTATAATTTTCTTCCACATGCATTTAAAGAAAAAGAAAAAGCTCACAAATTTGTCTGACCTTTGAGAGAACTCAATTTTCTCTTTAATATGGTTGAGGTTAGCGGCTGTTTTCAGTGCTAACACGGTAGGAACAAGCTAGCTATTGTTTGTCCCCTCATACACCTGTGTATGATAACAACGCACCTGTTTTTAAAGTAGGTTGGATTTTTATCCTTTTCAGGGAATATCAATCAAGCCATTAAGTAGGTCCTGTCATTAACCTAGCTTGCAGGGAAAATGCAATAGAGTTTGTTTTACCAATCATAACACACTTTAGTCCTATATTTCATGGTATCTGTCCAAAGCATAGACTGGAATTTTTCAAAATATGTAACTGTTCACAAGAGCTCTTATTGGTTTTTTTATAGTCTGTTGAAGGGGTGACAGATACGTCAAATTGAATATTCAATTTTTGATTATTCGTCAAACGATAAATATGTAACTTGTGGTTATAAATATCAAACTAATAAGGAACACGGCTAAATTATTTAAAAACTTATAATACATCCTAAAGTAGAGATATTTAAAAAAAAAAAGAAATCATAGCTTGGTGTGCTGAACTTATTTCATTTACCGTATTCATTTTTTTAAAGGGGGGGGGGCGTTCCCTCTTGGCGTTCATATCTTCTTCTTTTTCGTCCACTGGGGGCACTGGCAGACACAAGAAGAAAAAGTAACTACAAGCATGACTTACAAATATCACTCCATTGTTTGTTTCTTGGTTATATTCATAATGTTCAGAATATTTGTGCTGATTTACATCAAAGACCAAAAAGTAAAGAAGGCTAGGCAAGTGTGAACCTGGACATTCTTCTTCAACTTGTGTGACATGCTACGGGTCATTGCTAATACACCCTAATACCAGGGATTGGCTTAAACGCCACTCTGTCCAACCAATAAGTGGAACCACTTCTGACAAGTATTTGGGGGTTATAGTGAATGACAGAGAAGGGAGGGAGGGAGAGAGAAGGGGGAGAGAGAAGGGGGAGAGAGAAGGGGGAGAGAGAATGTCAGAGAAGGAGAGATAGAGATGGAATGACAAAAGAAAGAGAGGAGAGAGGAAATTGTGAGATGATTTTTTTTTTTTTTTTTCCTTCAAAGGAATGGAGAAAAAAAAACTAAACAAAGAAGGACAGGGAAAATGAAGGAGGGCAGATTTAAATAACAAAAGTAGAAAGCAAGACAAGGAGAAAGAGAGAGGAGTGAGGGGGAGAGAGAGAAACAGAGAGACAGAGAGAGAGAGAGAGAGAGAAAAAAAAGAGAGAGAGAGAGAGCAAAGGGGTTGTAAGGTGGAGGTTGATGTCACAAAGTGAAATCAATTATGTTGCCACAGAAAAAGTACTGTACATGCATCAGACATTTATTAACTAAAGACTGAAAGAAAGACTCTACATGAATTAACATTAGCAAATAAAAGATAAAAGAAAATGACAGCACAAAATCTCCCGTCATATTATTTTCAACACTAGAGGGAGCTATACCAAAAACCTCTCAAAGTACATTGTGATTTTCATAATCACTGCCAAAGGTGTTTTTTTTATTTACCTTCCACATCACTCTATTCTCATAATAATCAATAATTCCCTCACTCACACACAGATATGATGCCATAACACAATGTATACAATAGCAATGCAGTCAAAGGAATGCATTCCTACAGAAAAGGCAAAGTAAACAAAGAAAAATACACACAGATTGAACTTCCACTTTGCACACCTCTTCACCTCTTCAAAAATAAAATTATAACACCCAAGTTGATTTCATATTTCATGAAAAACAAGTCACTTCTAGCTATTAAGAACATAACCAAACATTGAGCAATATTGTATGAATAGACAGTTCAAACATGTGAGATGCCACTTCTTTATAAACCCATTGGCCGGAATTCACAAAGGAGGTTTAAATTTAACCCATGGTTTCAAATTAGTGCAAAATAAGCGTGACACAAGTCAGAGGTCCAATATTAGACGCGCGCAAGGCAAGGTACGCCTCAATTTGCGCTTATTTTAAACCATGGGTTAGGTAAATGAGGGTTTAAACCATGGGTTAAATTTAAACCTCCTTTGTGAATTCGGGCCATTGGCCAATAAGGTAACCATCCTGTTAGTGTAGGAAATGGGTTCAGGTCACTTCTACTGTTTTCCTCATTCCAACGATACATAAAACCTGTCTAGGAAGGTCACCAGTCTAGAGGGGTCACTTCTACTCCTTCTTTTTTGGAGGCCTTCTTCAACTTGCTTGCTTGTTCAAACACTGAACATCAACAACAACCTCTCCAGGGTGGTGTCTTTACTTATTAGGATACTTGTAGTGCTTGTTTAAAGCGGGACTGCACTTTTTGTAGCTACTTGTGCCCTCTATATAGCCAACAATGCCTAAGCGGTACCCGTTAATCCCCCCATGGTCCCCTTTTTCTTTTGTTAATTGAGAGCTGATTTGATGAGATAGCCACCTGCCAGTGACCACGCAGGGAGGTCTAATCCCTCCTGGCCAAACTAGTGCAGATAGGCTTTAAAAAGTAAGATATGGAGTATTTGCACACAAGCTTTCATTACATTTGACATCATGAGAAAGTGACACAATCTTCTTTCTGAGCCCTAAACATATCACTTTGTCCAGGTTTCAAAGCAGTACTACTCAGCAAGGAAAATACAAAGGCAACACAATATCTAAACAACCATACTTAAACATTCTGGCAATCAAATAAATATAACAACCAATCGATAGAGTCAAAGACGGACAACCAACAAACAGAGTCAAAGACAAACAAACAAACAAGCGAACAAACAAACTCACAAAGAGGACTTACCGCTTCTTCCAGCGCTGCTTGGCGGCCGCACAGGCACGTGAAGCTTTTGAGTGAATCCACGAAGGAGTTGAGAAGACCTGCAGGTTGACTGGCGATCAGATCGATAGGGAACTTGGTGACGAGGTGATTGAGGATGCTGGCGAAACCCAAGGCTTCATGGTCCTGGACCTCAGAACTGAATGATACAGAGAACGAGAGAGAGAGAGATTGTTGAATGTTATGGACATTTCATCAAGTTCAAATGAAAACCATTGGAGCAGAAGGGTGGTAACTTTTTGTATTCATGACATGAGTTAACGGCCCTCTGGCTCAAAACTGACAATATTATTTAAATAATACTATTTCATAACCCTAGAACCTAATTCAATGTTGACCATACATCATTTCTAAAGAAGTATGCTTCAAAAATCTTCAAAGCCTTTAATGCACAAAACTACACCTGCGTCATATCGTTGACTTGATAACATCATTCTTGGTCTTCTTATCTACAAGATAATATTTTTCAAACTTTGTATTCAACAAAGACAAAATGTCTCATGCAAAGATCCACAGAGATTATAAATTTGCAACTTAAAATAGCCACAAACAACCAAAGAACATCCTCAAGATATGCTAGAATACACCCTGACTGGGGTAACCTGTCTTAGGACGACCCTCAAAGAGTCGCTGCATAAATTGGGCTAACCAGCAAAGTATTCACTTTAATATAATTAATTCACATTAAATAGCAAAATAGAATAGCCATGTAACGATCCTCAAGGACAATTCAAGAAGACATCCTTGAAAAGGGAGACCTTAACCATTGAGACTCTAGAAGGGAAACAAAAATAACCTTGTGGAAAGATCTTTAGAGACCATAAAATTGCAACACAAAATATTTACGTAGCGCCCAAAGAATGTCCCAGAGGATGTTCCTACATGTAGAAGACATTTCTCAACGGAGTGCCCTACTGAACAAGGGTCAAGAACTTACCCATTGAGAGCCTGGAGCAGACATCGGATGAAATGAGCCAGGTAGTCACTCTTGGCCTTGCGGTCAGCAAAGACGGGTCCATCGAGGGTAGCTAGCTGGGATAGGCTCTGCATGGCGAGGTGACAGGAATCAGGATTTAACCGAGTCCTTGCATGAATCTGAAAAAAAGTAAAGGATTATCAATCTAATGGGGCTTCGCAAGAAAGTTGCAATCAATTGCAAATCTCCAAAATCAATCTCATGATTAATTACAAATTTGCAATTGAAAGTAACTCAACTTTCTTGCAACAATAAAAGCTAGATCTAGTTAACCTAATTTAATTGTTTAAACTTTAATCGTAACAAAATCCTTGGAAACTTAGGAGACTAGTGGGGCGTTGCAAGAAAGTTCAGTTGCAATCAGTTGCAAATATCAGTTGCAAATTTTGCAACTTGCAATCAATTGCAAATTTCTTGCAACGTCCCATAAGATATAAAGATCTTCATGTACACAAACTTGGCTGGGGAGGAATTAGAAAGTGAGCGACAAAAGAAGGGGAAGAGAATATGTTTAGCTGTTTTCAGCTTGTTTTTGTTTTGGTTGTTTCCTACGAAGGATTTGAAAGATCTGATGGAATGGATTTTAAATGAAGGAGAAGACAAGAGCTCATGAAAAGATGACTGGCATCTACCCAATGTCTAATATTAACAGAGGCAGTATATTTTGTTTGAATAAAATCTGGATGAGTATTCGCTTTAGGTGAAGCAAAGTGTAAACATCCTTTACCCATTTCCAAGTTGTATCAAATTATCAATAAGTGCCATTTTTCTAAATACGGCTTAGGATGCGATTTATGATGACATAAGATGCTTCACCTCTTTTCCACATGAATAATGAAGAGCTAATTTCAAATTGATGTTGGATGTTTAGCCTTAAAGGTAAAGACCAGTTATGGAAATGCCCCCATCTCAAAAAATGAAATGGAAGCTCTTATTACCAATCATGTGAAAGAATATGTTTTGACTAATACGTGATGATAAAAATGTTGCCTAGAAACCGCCAACTAATTGATATATTTGGTAAATTATTATATCTATTTGGACCTGATAGATATCGCCGCGCACGTGTCACACACGTATCGCATAGTCCCATATACATCTTTCTGTGTAAAGTGCTTGTGACTTTACCAAGACTGGGCCAAATTTCTTATCATTTTGATGATTCCAGAACCTTGCAGTACACACCAATACTTCTATGCTAGATGATCAACCTTTTCTAATCGATTCCACAACGTTTCTTTCACGATGCAATCGCATGACCATAACTGGTCTTTATCTTTAACCTGTATTGAGAACCAGTTTACCTTGAAGAACAGGTCTAGAAGTCCATGGTCTAGAAGGGGGTCTCTCCATTTACCATCGGGTCTCAGAGGGGGTGTGTCCACTGGCTGGAATGACCCAACACGACGTCTCGCCGGTGAACATTGGAAAGTCAAGGAAAGTATATCGTACAACTGCATTGAACAAAACTATCATCATCATATGAATTACAAAAAGATTATACAACACTGACAAAATCTGTCAATCCGAATGTTTAATCCATCATCACAGACTTTCACAGTGTCTAAACCACCTTGACTCAATCAAAGTAAATCTAATTTCAGAGGATATTAATTGTAGCCTTTGAAAAGGGAAAGTGAATATTTATGTTAATAAAACTCCCCTCAAAACACCCCAAAAAACAAGAAACAAGGAAATGTGATTTTTTTTAAATGGATAGATTAGTAGCTGGATAGATATCATGATGGCAGATAATCAGAAGTTTCCTGACATACATCCAAGAGTTTTTTTGTTATAGTTTTAATAATTGAATGAATTTTATGGAGCCGTGCTGGTCTCCAACTTGGCACCACAATACACACCATGTTGAAACAGGTTTGTCAATAGCTTTCAACATTATTTTTGTTGTTACTTGCTGAAAAGTTCAGCATGATTCATCAAATGGTGAATCATGGTGACATGGTCATAACAAACAGGCCTGTGTCAGTAAGTACTGATGTGGAAGGATGCCAGGATCACTGCCTACAGCAGGCCAGCTAATCACCTGTTCACACATACCCAGAAATCTCTCTAAATAATTACCTCCAACCTCAGTGTGAGTAATTGTGATATGGTCATGACACATTAGTCTGTTTGACTATGGACTGGTACAAAAGGATATGTCTACCAAGGGCGAACTCTCAGCTCATGACCTGTTCACATATATTAAAGAATCTGCGTAACACCCTACCTAGATAACTACAGCAATCCTTGGTGAATAACTTTGATATGGTCATAATAGTCTGCAGTATGTGAAAGGAACAGTCCAACAAATGTGAACTACCGACTCAGGACTTGTTCACAACATGTATACTAAAAATCCTACCTAAATAATTACACCGTACCTTAGTGAATAACTGCGATATGGTCAAAAGATTATTTGTCTAGGCAGACTTGAAAGGAAATGTCAAAGAAGTGTGAACTACCAACTCAGGACTTGTTTATGACATGTATACTGCGGATCCTACATAAATAATTACACCAAACCTTAGTGAATAATTGTGATATGGACATAACAAATTAGTCTTGACTGATGTGAAAGGATATGTCTAACGAGAGCGAACTCCCAGCTCAGGACCTGTTCACATATACTGAGGAACCGGCTGAAGACCTTGGCTGTGTCACCACTCAGAGGCCCCTCTGTAGACATCATTTGGTGCAGGATTTGGACAGCATACATGAACACCTTCTTTAGGTCATGTATCTAGAACAAAAGAAAATAAAAATTATTTTTAAGAAGAATGCTTTTCATGTTACTACCACTCACTAACTCTTTCCATGGAGCAGAACGCATAACCAGCCCAAGAGCCCAATATTCCATTTAAAATGTCAATCTGGTGCTGACATGATTTAATGAGATTAACTGCAGAATACACTACCATGTATCACTACAATGTATTAGGTTTCAGGGTAGTATCAGGGTCAGGGTTCAGTTTAGAGTAATGTTTAGGTAACGATTAGGTATAAAGATTCAGTTTAAGGTCAAGGTTAAGTTTATTTAGGTCATTTAAGTGGTGAGGTATACCCCCAAATTATGTCATAGCCTTCAGACATAAACCTTGCTGCACATTCTATGTTTATCTCTTTATTACCATATAGCATTTAAAACTTATTTGACTTTCAGCTGTTTTTCAATTAAGCAAATCCAACTTGTATTGTTATCACTTATAAAGAGGCTAATCACGTAATTGATTGGTCAATTGACTGCATCTCTTATGATCAAGGACCTTATAGATATTTAGCTTTTAATTTGTTCATATATTCTGTTTTTGCTGTATATGACAATCAATACAATTTGTTTACGTCGAGTTCAATGTTTGCACGTTTACCCTTCCTCACGAAATCCACTGAATACTAAGCCTAAGATAACGGTGGATGGGTTCTGTGTAAATTTGTGTTACATTGAATTGAAATCATATTCAAAGAAATGAAATGACGATAGAAAATACCTCAAATATGTGCTTGCATTGTATGTGAAACTCCCAGCTGAGACCGATGTCACTGGTTCGTGTGGATCCAGAGTATTCATTGAGGAGGGCAGTCAACATGGAACACGCTATCATTTGCTGAAAAATTCATGACAAAAAAGAAACCAGTAGATTAGAACAGTATAGGTACTCATACATCCTTAGCAAGAGTATTTAAAGGTAAAGACCCATTCTGGTCATGCGATTGCACTGTGAAAGAAACGTTGCGGAATCGATCAGAAAAGGTTGATCATCTAGCATATAAGTATTGGTGTGTAATGCAAGGTCTGGACTCATCAAAATGATACGAACTTTGGCCCAAACTTGATAAAGTTACAAACACTGTACACAGAAAGATGTATATGGGACTATGTGACACGTGCGCCATATCTATCCGGACCGGATAGATATAATAATTTACCAAAAATATCAATTAGTAGGCGGTTTCCCGGCAAAATTTGTATCATCACGTATAAGTCAAAACATATTGTTTCACATGATTGGTAATGAGAGCTTTCATTTCATTTTTTTGAGAGGGGAGTGTTTCCAAAACTGGTCTATACCTTTAAGATTTAAAAAAGAAAGCAAATAAATTAAATGCTCAACGGACCCCAATTCATCAAGAATATTCATCTGCGGGACATTTAATTCACTTGCTGTGACCATTTAGAGTAATCCAGAGACACAATCGTAGCATCCAATATTATTTTATCTTGGGCCCTCTTTGTTTAGTAAATGCATGTACATCGTATTTCAAACATATATTTTGCATCAATAAAAAAAATCTAAACTTCTTGTTTGTTCTCTTGCATTGGATGGATTAAAGGGGGGAGCAAAAAAGTCAAAGGTATTCATCTCTAAATTGGCTCATGCTCGAGGACCAACACAAATTTGATACATACTTTTCACATTCCAGCTAAATATGAATCCACAACAAAAACTATCATCCTCACGTAGGAACCAACATATTTTGTTTCTTGTAAATACAGGGCATGACCAAGGGGGGCGTTTCACAAAACTTGTCATTGACAGTCTTTCTTATAAGCTACTGAAATCCTTGCTTCTGATTGGTTATTAGCAGATTTATCACTGATTTTTGTCATTTGTCATTGAAAAAAGGCTTTGTGAAACGTTGCTCCAGTACAAAGAACTTACCAAGGAAGGATCTCCACTTGTGATGATCTGTGAAATATCAGCAAAGAGACCTTCCCTGCCGTTCTCCTTGCTCTCCACTGTCCCGCGTTTGAAGATTACTGCTACAGCTTGTAGAATCTGCTCTCTCACATAGCTGGGTAATCTGTACAAACAAGAAAAAGATATGCATTTAGATCAATTCAATCAATTCACATCAATTCAATTCAATTTATTTGGCATTCCAAAAAAAACACATCATAAATACAGAATTCATAAAAGGCCAGGACCTCCAAGAAGCACCAATGAGGCACCTATTAAGTTAAACACATTTATTGAATTAAATTACAAAGAAATAAAACTTACAAGATATATTATATAATATGTATATCAATTTTAAATATCATCTATAACAGGTATCGACATTGGAAATGACAAATTAAACTTTTCATGCTGGTGGTACATTATAAGACCATGCATAATAAGCTTCATTCAAATTCCTTTGGGCTACTTGTAAATGGGCTGTTACAGAAAATGTTACCTTTGAACATCCTTAAAACTGCACCAGTTAATATACATGCTTTTAAACCAGGGAGGATCCTTAAAACAGATGCTTGGGATACATCAACCCCAATAATTCCAAAATGTTAAGAAGTGGCTAAAGCAGACCTGTCGATGCCCTAATAATAGCGATCCAGAGCCCGGTTGCATAAAATTTACCTTTGATGGTATTACAATAGCCAAGCCATCAATGGCAACTACCATGGACACAGGGCTCAACAGCCAATCAAAATCAAGGTTTCCATGGTAATTACCATTAATGGCAAAGTTGGTCAGTTTTGTGCGAAGGGGCTAAGATCCCTGGAACAAAAATTTGATATGGAGCACAAAGTTAAACCATATGATGGCTACAATTACTGTAAAATTATCATACTATGCCATTCTTAGTCTATCATCTTCGAAAAAGGACAAAGATCTCTTCTTACCCTGGTTTGTGAGTGACATATTTGAGGAGGAAGCTTCGGACATTGTCCACCTGGGAATGGTCAAGCATTGCCCAGTCTCTGATGACCGCTTCCTTGACCGTTGAGGCTGCCTGGAACAAGATGTAGTCAACATTGCTGTGTTCTGTGGATGGAGAAAAAAAAATTGTTTGTAAAGGCAATGAAATAGAGGCCAAAACCAATGCTCCCACCTATAACTTACATGTAGTACATGTTATGCACTTGGAGTTAAGACTGTGTCACACAATACACATATGATCTTGAAGATTATAATATCAATATTTGAGGGATTAAAAAAAAAAATCCTAATGAATACATTCCGTTCTTGAATTGTGAGGATGAACCATCATAACGTAGGCATAGAGCTGTCTGTAGAGAGATATTTATCAATTAATTTATAATTTTTATTTCATGACTGGATTCATTTTGCTTAATTCATTTTGTTTCAGTAATCCGTACTTACTAACAAACTTATCACCTAGGTATTCATAAATCAGTAGACTAGAATAAAGTAAAGTGTTTTTTTAAAACTTGGTCTAACTTTATGTATATAAACAAACATAAACCCTATCCAACCATACACATTCGTCCTGAAGAAGATGGATACAACCTACAAAAACATTGAGATAGAGCATGAGTGGGCCCTTGTCAGGGACAACCAACCCTGTCGAAAGAATATGTGGTGTAACCGCAAACCTCGCTCAAATATGGCAGCCTTCAAAGATTACAAACCAACATTATTTTCATCATACCACCTTTCGTTATCCCATACTCACCCAAAATGAATTGGCAAGCTTGCAGTGGATTTGATGCTCTTCTGAACGCTAGAATAGTGTGCTCAGCTGCCTGTCTCTGCTCCTGATTCACAGTGTGAGGAGGCGCCTGAACAAAAAGAAATTGGAGATCAGATTAGGATAGATTGATTGATTGATTAATTGACTATGGACAAGCCCTCGATTAAGCGGGCACAGGGAGCAAATTTTCGCTCATAAAACCACCAATTGCGCCCATAATCATCTACAACTAGACCGCAAGGCGTAAGTGTTTGCCCTGAAAATGCACCCATAAAATATTAGGACAGAAAAAATACATGAATCACGAAACAATTGCCGCGCACAAGCTCTCTACTAGCTAGTATTTAGTGTATGCATTTCTTGATGTGGAAGTGTTTGCCGTGAAAATGCGCCCGTTGGTACTAGTCTATAGGCTATAGCAAACATACTTTCATGCGATCGCTAGATGGTGCTGTGGCGCACGCACGTACGTACAAATGTTTTGAAGGATCAAGAAAACAAATCGTCAAATGGAGAAATAAACAAGCATTCAATAAAAAAGCTAGCCGGCCAGCTTCCCACCGCGAACCTTTCGAGTCCCGGTAACAGAAAGTTTGTGTTCTGCCGAGAGTGTGGCGGAAGGTTTGTGTGTGAGGTGCGATTTCGATTTGGGATAGACTTGCCAAGTCCTTCTGACTTTCGATGTTCGTGAAATTCATGATTTATTTATTCATTTGCTCATCAATATTTTTAGTTACTTTAAAATACTGTTTAATGTGCACATTGATGTTCTTAATCAATCTTTCCTGTTGATCTTGTTAAGATTAAAAAGTTATTAAATTGATCGTATTGGCATAGTGAAATAAACATTGTATCTTTGAACTCAGTCTATTTAACTTTTGTAATTGGTTGTCATTATCTGTTTTAGGAAAATTGCCCCTGGTTCTAAAAGGTGAAATTCAAAGAAATTCACAAATATGTCAACTAATTTATCACTAAAAACTGGTAAGCTAACAGATGGCCGTCGTTCAAGTTTTAGGTCAACTACATATTGGGTGATTTATAAAAATACAAATACAACCACCTCCATAGCAGCTGGGATATACGAGAGATTCGCCAGAATATAACAATGTTTTAATGACGTCACAATATGGACCAATACTGCCCAAGCAGACGACATCCCATAAAGAATGAACATAATTGCAAAGCTATTATTTGTCAAATTATAATGAGTTTAGTGTATATAAATGTAATGGCATGTCAAACCATTCAAAAGGGGATATGACCCGATTCTGATAACTAAAATACACAGGATAGGGGTTAACAATCAAAGAAACCATTTGTTCCCTCTTGAAATGCTGAACATAGCGCGGTGTGTGCAGCTGAATATACAATGGCTCTTATTTTGTTTCCAAGCGACAGATTCCTTTATTTTTGTATCGCTGCATTTGTCATAAAAATAAAACCCGACGGTGGTGAAGTAAGAGAAAGAACCCAAGAGAAGATGAAAACACAGGCACTGAAAATGACATCATGCGACGCATGCATGCGAGGTGTGCTGCAGCTGTCCGATTGTACCGTAGTACGTAGAACTTTAGCTTACATTATAGCGCATGTTCATCCAGTCTCTGCCTCATTTTCCTAAATTGGCACCTTCCAGAGGAACCTTCTAATTGGATATTGCTGGCTACCATTTGCTCAACGTTATTACATATTACTGCGAGGAAAAAACTTGCGATTTTCCATTTGATTAGAGACTTTGGTGGTAAGCACTTTTAGCACTGTTTTATTATTATTATTATGATATTCCAGTCAAATCTTCAATTTTGTATGATTTTTTCAGCATCCTTAAATTTTGTATTGGCATTGGCATTGCCATTGCGCTCTCTGCTAAAGCGGGCCCTCTCTTACTTAAATTCAAAGCCGTTTGAGCGGCTCGGCCAATGGGAGAGCGTAAACTCGCTGTAAAGCGCTCAGCGCGGAAAGTTCTACATGTGGAAAGTTCTACGTGCGTAACAGCCAACGAAGATTCGCTATGATATCGTTATGTTATGGAATCATTATCATGTTTGTTTTCCCAAATTCATTGAAAGCCTGTCCCACAATGCAGTTCACGTTATTAACCTCATTCCCCATACATTGATACCAAGATCGTTCATCGGGCAAATTTGACCCATTAATTTGAGTTTTAGCAGCTGTCTGTACTCTGTAGCGTGTAAAAAATGTATTCTAAAACAGTAAATTTGACTGATTTTGTATAATTTGTGTAATATTGTGAAATATTTTTATGGATTCTTGACATGTTTAGTCTAGACCGATAGTTTTTCCAAAGGCGAGCGTGTGTAAGGTATGTGTAAGGACTGTGCGAGAAGAGATTTATGCACAAGCGACGAGCTTTGGTCATGCCTGTAAAATGATTGTAGACACCCTTAAATTATCCCTTAAATCTTCCCTCAAATGGCCTTATCGTTATCAAAGTCCCCTCTCTTTCACAGTGTACACACACGTTTGCATGCAAAGTCTACGGAGATGGATCGAAGTCCCTCGCACGCAGACGCAATAAAGCTAGCGCTGTGTAGAGAAATGAGAGGGGACTCGGATCACGATTATGCCCCTTATCTGTAACAAACTATACACTCATTATCAAGTTCCACAGCAACATAATTTTCAGTTTAGATCATATCCTCCTCTTCAGCACTTCACTTCATTCAGTCTGGCCAAGCCTGGCTACGGCTCGTCTACATATATTTACGCCACACAAAGTGACCGTAAACCGGCGCGCCAAATCTGCCATTCATTCTCATCAAAAGCTCATGCGTAAATCGAATTCAACATGTCAACACTAACAACAAACGAACATCAAGCACAAAAAGTCCATAAATATGCTCGGAGTCAATATCTTACCAATATAATATGTGAAGCCTCTTCTAATTGTCTCAAAAAGTCACCCATTTTTCTCCAAAATCGTCAGTTCATGTAGCAGAAGTCGTGTGTCTCCGTGGTGGTAGTTATAACCTCTGCGCTGCCTTCTCAACGAAGTACTTCCGGTAGTGAGTTGATGACTCCCTCAGTCTCCTCTCCCTAGCTCTCTCAACAACTCACCCCCCCCCCCCCCCCCCCCCCCACTCAGTCGGAATGACCGCATGCGTGTTGCCAAAAGGGGTACTTTTCGTGCGACAAAGTCTGGCCCGAGAATTATAAAAAAAAGGGGTGTATTTGACTTTCATCCGGAGATTTCTTTAAAAAGGGGGTGTTTTCTTTTTTTTCTCTCATCTCTTTGGACTCCTGAGAAGTTATTCCGAATTTAGGGGGTACATTGAGCATTTTTCCTGATTTAGGGGGGTCTCCAAGGCAGGAAAAGCCCCCGGCCCAAAAAGCCCGCGAAAGGGGGGTTCGGAAATGTTGGCAGTCCTCAGATAGGGGGTGCTTTCCGCAAAAAGAGGGAACGAGCATAATGCATACCCTAAATAACACTGAGTGGGGGGGGGGCGGGCTCAAAACTCCCTCTCATCAGAGGCGGCGCTCCCGAGAGCCCCCTTTTACATCAGAAAAGTGCCCCCTTTACTTTGACATGTGCCCTTATTAATTTTTAAAAGTGCACCTTCCCTTTTCCACCTCTGATAAGTGCCCTTTTTATTTTGACACGTACTCCTTTTCCTTCGACAAGATCTCCTTTTCCTTTGCAATAAGTGTCCATTTTCCATTCTCATAAGTGCCCTTTTTTAAATCTCTATGAAGTGCCCCTTTTCAGGTACAAGAAGCGCCCCTTCACCTCTGATAATTTCCCTATTCAAATCTGAGAGGTGCCCCTTTTCCTTTGACAAGTGCCCCTTTTCCTTTATGAGAATGTGCTTATAACCCCATCAGGATTGGGTTTTTCCTCTTTATAAGATGTCATTTTTCGCACTGCGACCTCACAAATCTTAACAATTTTCCTCGCTCACTTTGCTCGCCCGCCAATGAATTTTCAGAACAGCACACCCAACTGCAAAGTATGATATATGCTTAAGCAATATCTTATATGATCTATATAGAGAAACAAATAATACAATTATCCCTGATAATGTAATCAAAATATAGGGGTATATTATCAATGTATCAAAAATGGTATGTTTTCGCTTTGAAGGTGCCCTTTTCTTCAGAAAGTGCCCTTTTTTGTTGGTGTCCCCCCACACTTTGGAAGTCGCTCCGCCGCCTCTGGTCCACATGCTCTCTCTCTCTCTCTCTCTCTCTCTCTCACTTTCTCTCTCTCTCTCTCTCTCTCTCTCTCACTTTCTCTTTCTCTCTCTCTCTCTCTCTCTGTAATCACTTCAGTAAAGTTCAGTTGGAATATTCCACTCAAAAGCAAACATATATAATACATTTTGTTCAACACATCAAACAAACTCACAAGAATTCAAGCGACACGGGCAGTGTAGAAGAAGAAAGCTTTTAATATTTTGAATTATAATCTATCTGTGAACATGAATAAGTCACATATTGCACAACATACATTTCCACAAAACAATATTTTCTCTATAATTATCAACACTAGAATTAGTTTGAAATTGCACAAAAAGATTAAAACACATATTACATCAAAATAATCGACAGCTGGATAAATACTGTCGCAAACCTGTCTTTCATTGATTTCATTAATACCCATGATTTGCACAAGTTAATGATGTCGCTGCGATGAAGCAGGGAAAGTGTCCCTGGATAGAGCTACTACAAAATAGAATTGCTAGACGCCTATATGGGAAAATGGATACTCATAAATAAAGCGTCAGTATTCGCCAGATTCTGACGTTCATGGCGCTCTGCATCTTACATCATAGCTTAATAAGCTTATTGAGAGAGACATGGTTCAAGAACATTTTCGGCAAGATGGCATGACAATGTCGAATTGATATTTCAATAAGTATGAGTTGACCCCCCCTCTCTCTCTCTCTCTCTCTCTCTCTCTCTCTTTTCTCTCTCTCTCTCTCTCTCTCTCTTTCTTTCTCTCTCTCTCTCCCTCTCTCTCAGGTTTTATGCGAATGACATGCAGGACCACGTATAAGAGCCATCTTAAGTTCTTTCCCAACCCCTCTCAATTTTTAGCCTTTGTCTTCCTGGCATGGAGCACCGAGTGCTAATTTCATATTCGCTCGTCTTCCATGTTACTGGTTCTAAACTAACCTGCGCATGAGGTTCCCTGCGAAATTATTCAAGCAACGGACTAGAGTAGGGCAAATTCAGTGATTGGGGTGGTGTGATCGCCACATTGTTTTAGCACAAAATTGTTTGGAACCAGCAACCTTGACAACTTGGCCAATTTGACGTCACCCTTCGATACTCTATTATGTCTGTCACATATCAAGTCCGACACTATTCTAATTCTTGGTCTTCCACTTCCACATTTACCATCCAACTTCCCTTCTAAAATGTCTCTGATCATGTTATCCACCTTAATTTAGGCTGAGATGAGTAATTGATCATCATCAGAGTATTCTACAAAGAACGTTTTACAATGCAGAGTGAAATGTAAGGCCTATAGTTTCATGTAGAACAGTACCAACTTAAAATCAAGCTTTTTAACTCAGAGATGAAATATGTATATGAGAGAGATATGCACTGACACCGTCCGATATTAGTTTTGACTTCGAATGATAAAGGCATTACAATTCAATGTCATTGTATTCATAAAATACGTTTTGATTATTTACACATTCATGAATGACACAACAATTTGTCGATGATGGGATAAACTTCGCTTATCAGCAATAACACCAATTTCCCTCACACGAAAATAAAAAAGATAATGGAAAAAGTAATATCATCGCAAAAGTTGGGAAAGGATCACATCAGCGGCGCATGATTGACAAGATGATGAAAGTGGTAAGAATCTGAAGACGAAGTGGAATACTAGAGCTTTTGAACATTTGAATGCTCAGGAAATTAAAATTCAAAAGATGACAATTTTTGTCATGATGATAATTTATTAGAATAATTCTTCTTGTAAACTCTATGAGGGCATGACAACTTTCATTTGTCTTGAGGTATATCTATAGTTGGGGACTAATTATTAACTGATCCTTGGTTGTCCATTTCATGGAGAAACTCTCAAAAACGGCCTTGGAAGTTTTATATTTCAACGTAGTGGTGTAGCCAGGAAATTTGTCAGGGGTTCAGCGAGGTCACTTTGAAAGAAATATATTGGGGTACGTACAAATAGGCGTCCGAACTGAGCTGACCCGCGATAAATTTCCAATAGCCGGGATACGAATTTTGGGCAACCGTTAAATGATATGCCCTATGCCCTATCCGCTGCAGCGAGGCTGTGCATTCGAAACAATCTATTTGTCTGTTATCTTTAATACTAGTATTTTCATTATGATGACAACATAACATTTTTACTTTCATTAAGATCCCGAATTCGTGTTTGTTCCCAACATTTTAGAAACTGAAGTTCATTTTCGGGTAAGAGGAGTCAGCCCTTCCCTCGTCGATATTTTTCTCTTGCGCTTCCTGCCCCCTCCCCCTCCTCACCCAGGGCTACTTTAACATTTGAAATGAGATGATACACAATTACTCTAATGTTACATACACAAATAAATAAACACCCAGCGACATTTTGCCCGGTTTGAAGGAAAATAAACTGCGTTTTTTAAGTCCACTTGAAAAACACAATTAAGCTTCTTTTTTTTTTTAAATCCAAAAAAAAAAATCAAAATGAAAATGAAAATTGAAAAGTTACTCGCAATAAATGTTATCCAATAGATTTTTCAAGAAACTGATCTAAATTTACTTTACATAATATCAAACTTTAAGAGGCGGTTTAATCATGGTTGTGTCAAATGGTAGTTATATTTTTTAATATGTTCACTCTGAGTCCAAGATAATTCAAACCAAGAAATAAAGTTGTTATTTCTATCAATATGAGCTCTTTCAACTCTTTCAAGAAACTATTATACGTATTGTGTTGGCGCACTCTCCAATAGCTTGAAAACCCAACTGTTGGACACCATCTTAAAAATGATAAAATAACGGTATCTATAAATAATTATAATTTGAAAGAATGTGTGTACCTATATTCTTCGGTTTTCTTTGCTAGCGGCACGTTGTAAAAATTCGGCAAGTTTTTGGATCAAAATTTGTTGTTTCATCTCTTCAAAGAGTTGTGGAATCTGCATAGAAAACAGAGAAATGGAGCAAAAGAAAAGTAAGAAGCATGTTAACAATGATCAGTTGAGACAGCGCACAGTGGGCCGGGAAGAACCAAAGTGCGCCAAAAGTAATTTATTTTGATTTTGTTCTTCTTTTTGTTCTTCCCCAGTTGAAAGATAATACATTCCAGAGTAACTCAATAAAAATATCTAATTCCGGTATGCTCAATAAGGGTATACATTTACTCCTTCGACTAGTAAAATTTGACATATTCACAGTTTTAGTGCAAAAGTGACTTATTTGATAAAAACAGTCATATTAGATTTTAAAATTCTACATTATTGTTTCCAAAGTGGCACGTAGCTTGAATTTGTAAAGTGAAGCAGTTGATTACAAATGGTAGTTGGAAAGATTCGATTCTGTTAAATAGTAAAGTTGGTATTCATCAATTATTATTTGAGTTAGAATACGCAAAACTGAAGAAATGTTTCCCATGCCATTGGTTAAATAAATTATACGTTCGAAATAATTTTCAATTAAGTAGTAAACAAAACAATTCAAATTTGATAGAAGTAGCTACAGGAGATTTTGTTGATATATCTAGTTTCAAGACGAAACATTATTATTTATCCCTCCTGAAACAAATGCTTCAAAAACTGATTGTTACACGTTACTAGGAATATTACTTGAATTTACTTTTTTTTTTATAAATTGGCAGAAAGTATGCAATTTTAAATTTCAACAAATAGGAAATAATAGGAAAAAGCAAGTTAATTTTAAAGTATTGCATACTTAACATAATTCCATCAAAACATAATTTATGCAGATGGCGTATAATAGAAAATGACCAGTGTGATATATGTAAAGGAACAGAAACCACTTTTTATGTCTTGTTGAAATGTAACAAGGTTAGAGTTTTTTGGAAAATTATTAAAAACTAATATTATAATTACTTTCATGAACAAATAAATATGAATGAAAAAGCATTAGTTATAGGTTATTTTATTGAAAAAAAAGGAAAAATTTGTGATAAACTTCATGTTAATTTTATGAACATAATGTATATCCAACTTCGGTATGATGGTAAAGACGTACAATAGTAAAAGTCTGTTCATTAATTTCGAATTGAAACTACGATATTATTTAGCATATAACCAAATTTGTTAATGACAAAAAACAAAGAAATTGTTCGAAAAATGTTAAGGTTATAACTATTTATTTTTTATTACTTTTGTCTTTTATTATTATGTTAGAATGTAAATTGATGTAAATATATATGAAATGTGAAATATGCGAAATAAAACACCTTGGTAAGAGGACAAGAAGAACAAAAAGAAAAAAAGAAGAAAAAAAATATAGAGATTTGAAGAAAAAAAAAGATAATTTTATTTCAAGTCCTTACCACTTACGTTTGATTGAAGTTCATCTGGGATATCCTCCCAGTCCGGAACCGATGCTTCTGATTCCGATGCCTCTGAAAAATATTCGGCTTCGTTTGCAACCTGATCTTCTCCTGCGACATAACTCTTCCAGCCACCCTCTTCGATGGGGTTTACCGAGGCGGCGTTGTTTTCAGCAGGATGGTTCGATTCCTTGTCGGTCTGTTCGTCCAATGTCGCCTCCCTTTCCTCATCTTCCGTTTCTTCATCGGATTTAAAACTGCCCCATTGCGTGTCCTCACCCGAATCCGACTGCTGATCCTCATAGCCGAGGACGTCGTTCCCTCCGCCATCACCCGTTTCGGCTTCAGCCATTAATGCCTGTAGCAGGATTTCTCTCTGGAGCTTTGGAGATGCGTCCCTGATGTTCAGCAGATGCTGCAGGATGTTGTCCTTGGCTTCCTTGGTCTTGATCGCAGACAGGAGCCGGGATACCTTGTCCGAGCCCTCGTTTGGACCCTCCATCCGACCGAACTGTAGATATTCTCCCAAGGATTGTGGTTCCAGGAGGTCTTGCGGATCGAAGCCATTGTAGGGTAGGTCGAAGCTCTCTCCGCCCGATTCCCACGAGTTCGGGATAATCTCATCGGCGAACTCGTCTTCCATGAAGGGAAACCCATAGGCCTTCTTCCTGTAGAGTGACTTCACTACCTTCCTGCCGAACGGGGGAGGTGGTGGGATCTGCATGACTCTTCGCACCCTGAGAGCTTCGTTGGATCTCAGTGGGCCCCTCCCGGCGAGCTCGAGGGCTAGGTCCTCTAGAGATTCATCCATGATGGAACGCTCGACATCCTGCGGGGAAAAATAAAAATAACCGATTCACTATCAGAATACATCAATAGTTAACCGAGTATAACATCTCTAAGCTACCGCTGCTTAGCTGGTTAGCCGGTTACCAGGTTCAGAATTAGGTTCCACGACACCTTGACTCTACCCTTAACCCTAACCTAAAACATAATTGACTACAGCCAAAGAGTGTCTAACTTTGTATCTATGATATTTAGGCGCTGACGTAAAAGAGAAAGAGAGAAGAGAAAGGACATGAGGGCAGGAGAGAGGGGGAAAGGAACATGCACAGAGAGAGAGAGAGAGAGAATGAAAGAGGGAGAGGAGATGAGAGGAGGACAAAGCCATACAAGGGCTGGAAAAGTGGGGTGCAGAACAGCTGATCCGACACATAAGGTATTTTATCATTATAAGATTTAGGACGAAAGTTTATGTTCGGGTAGAATGTCCCGGGGCCGGGGTTGAAATTAGTAACATGGTTAGTGTCAGGAAAAGACTGCGTTGCGTTTGTCACTGGACCATGTACCGAAGAATACCGGAACCTAACAATTTTGAGATTCGGGTAGGCCGTTTTTGAACTGTACACTCTTGTAGAACTCACCTTGAGGTACTGATAGCGCTTGTTAAAGTGGTTCATCATGTCGACCCCGTTGGTCTGCTCCTCCAGGAGACCATTGTCTTGATCGAAGTCTGCAGGCAGTTCCCATGGCAACGTATCATCGGGTGGTAGTTCTGGCCGGATTACGTTGTCTGGTGGTGGAAGATTCGGGGGCTGCGGGTAGAACGATCCCGGATCGGGTATTTCGAACTCCTCTTCCGGGTCCTCATTGACGGCCACTGATAGAAACAAATAATGGAAAATGCACTCTGAATTTTGATCGAACAGGCAGAATATTATAGAGGAAGCTAGGCAATTATAGATAATGGGAATTGCGCCTAATTTATTGTTCAGTAACATGCAGCGTTTATTACTGACACCTCGTCCAGTTGTTAAAAATCAAATTGCGAAGCCACGGGATGAAGAGCGAGACCATAGAGCTATATGGAGATAAGTCCCCTTTTGTAATCAAATGTTTGTATCAACCTGCCCCGCCCCCCCCCCCCCCAACAAAAAAGGTTCATCATCCTTCTGAAGATTGGATCTTTTGCTGCTCCGATATGCTACGGGCTTTTTTGCCAAGTATTTAGGGTTAGGGCTCAATAAGGTTTTTGGTTGGGATTAGGTTTCGGGTTGCAGTTATATTTTGGACTACTATTAGGTTTAGGGTTAGGCTAGTTGATACTGGGTTTAAGTTGGGAATTCCGTTTAGAATATTGACCGTGGAGTAATTGTCTATAGCGTGTCGCAAAACCCCCATACAGCCCGTCACCATGTGGAGCTTTTCCGATTGTACCCTCCCAAATTAATAATTTTGAAAAACTAATCTCTTGCGACGAATGTAGTTTATCACTTACATGTGCGTTTCCGCAGACCTTCCAAAGTGGGCATACTGTTGATGAATGCTCTGAGATCTTCTTTATTTCTCCGTCTCCTGTCCAACCTCTGTAAGGGTGCTCGAAGACTACCACGCAGATTCAGAAAGACGTTCCTCCAATTCGTTTCTTCCCTAGGGTCAATTTGTTTCCTCTCCTGAGGTCTCAGGGGTTTCCTTCCAAGGTCGTTAAATTCAAGCACGGATTCCCCTGCCTCAGAAGAACTAGTCCATGAGGTGTCCAGCTCAGAGTCGCCATCGACGACCTCGTCTGCGAAAACAGAGGATATTTCGGCATCAACTTCGGCCTCTGCCAGGTTTTCATACATTGGTTTACCTCGCCGCCCCCACCCCAAGTCTCTCTTGAAACGTCGGCTAGGCTTAATATGAATTGCCTCCCTATGTTTCTCGGGAACGTTGTTCATTGCCGACTCAACTGCATTGTTCTTAGGTGTGGCCTTTGAGCTATTCTTTGGCACTTCTTGGTTACCTTGTGTAAGTTGACCCGCGAAGCGCTGTCTATCTTCTGAAACAGCGCCGAATTTGTTCTCGACCATTACGTCTAAGTGGTCATCGTCACCCTCCACGGCTGATACATCGTAGGATTCTCCTGTAGTTGAATAAAAACTCTCCTCCCCAGACACCGACTCGTCGATGTCCTCCAATTCGTCGGTCGCCTTCTCCCGCAACTGGTGAAGAAGCGACTTCAAATGTGAAATGGAGCTGTACAGTGGCTCAAGTTTCTCATTCACCAGTGCAGTTTCAATGTCAGCCAGGATGTCTTCCTCAGTATTTTCTTCATCCACGTCGTTGATGCTTGTAAAATATCCATCCGGCAACCACGAGGGGTACGACATCGCGTATTCCGAATTATCGACATCGTTGGTTATGGATACGTAGGATAGATCCTCCTGCTTGTGCTCTTCACCTTCTTCTTCTCTCCGTTCGTTCTTGTTTGCCAAATATTCTGCTGCTACAAATGGGGGTATCAGATCCCCATCGCCTGGCTTTGGCAAGTCTGGTAACATAATATGCGGGCCTTCATCTGCACAATGGCGATACAAATAAACAGAAAAGAATATAAGAAATATGCATATGATGACCAGTCCACATAATATTACATCTATGACTTGGCCTAATTTATCAAATAACCCAGCTCTGAGGATGAAAATTTGTTATGGACACATACAAAAACACGACTACTTAACCAAAATCAAACTCTGTGATTTAGTGATATCTAGTTTTTCTGATAAGAAGATTTACCTTTTTTTTTTTAAATGTCATCCTGTTTAATACTTACTGTCTATTATGTGGTCAAGGCATCATCTGGACAAGAAAATATTTGTCAAAGTTAACCGACAAGACCTGTTACCTGACGAGAAGCTCACGGCTTCATGACATATTGGTCATATCGGTGCATGGTATCCTTAAAGTTCCCGTTCAAAGAAAATCACGAATATGACGAATAACGTATCACTAGAAACTGGTAAGCTAACAGATGGCCATCGTACAAGTTTAGGTCAACTACATATCGGGGGACTTATAAAAATACAAATAAGACCACCTCCATATAATTTAGGATATACGAGAGATTCACCAGAAAATAACGAAGTTTTAATGACGTCACAATATGAACCAATCCTGCTCAAGCTTTCCTATACTGTACAGACCTTTGGTGTTATCTACTAAGAGCTCGTTTTCCAGTTTGTCTTGGTCTGGAGCACCGGTCGGTGCGCTGTTCCCGCCTCCCGAGATGACGAGCAGGGAAACCAGGGCACACAGAACCTTCATCTTGAGGCACTGTAATGATGAAACGAGAAGAAGAATGAGGTAGAGGAGAGAAAGATGGAGCGGAGGAGAAGAAGAAAGAATAGATAAATATTCGTTTGGCTCGCAGTGTATGGTCAACAAGGGATCTAAAAGATCACGACATTTCGTGCGCCGCTGCAACACTTCGTCAGGTGATGTCAGTGTTGCGGCGTCGCACGAAACGTCGTGATCTTGTAGATCCCTTGTTGACCATACATTGCGAGACAAACGCATATCACTAGCGATATTATTTTCGATACTACATCCGCAACGAGTAATATATTTAGCATTAATAGATAAATGAACAAAATAAGCATCAATGAAAGGAGTTCAATAAACCCTATACCTTGGCATTAGATCGATTCGTAAAGCACCAACACCAATAAGTGGACTAATGTCTTATGGTTGTCTTTCGAAAGAGCAGGTGCTTTTTCATGGACTACCTTGACACGATAAACGAGTCAATACACACATCTGTGTCTGCAACACCTATTCCAACGCATCATGATTGATATATTGATAAGGTAACACCCTCACTGCGCAACTTGGAAGATAGCACTCTTGTCTCTGTCAAAGATCTGCACAGCTTCTTGATAATTTAATTGTCTCATAATGTAATATATACAACACGCGTTTACCACGCATGTTATTTCCCGCATATTAACATAATTCATGTAATATGTCTTTCATTGTTTCTAGTCATCTAGCTTTTCCATTAGAAGCATGATTGATTCCTTCTATTTCTATTTCTTGAAGATTGTCTCATCGTGCATCAGAAAAGAACGGTTACTGCTATAGTAGGCAATATACAGTACAGGTCGTTGTGATTGAAGCGAGGTTTATGATTACATATTTTATCATTTTATGAATGCATTGTTTATACCCGATTCAAAGGCTTTACCATAACAATATTATTCATTTCTCGACAAAATCACGTGGTGTGTGTACATGTTGGCATCGTTACAACATTTTGAATTGGGGGGGGGGGGGGGAGTATACTGAGATGGAATTAGGGAGTTGTCGACAGCACTGATATTTGCCGTGATAAGTTTCAAGGGGTTGGAGAGGGTAACACCCAAACACCAATGTTGCCTAATGCTTCTTTGTGTACGAACCAGAGGCGTACCGTGGGCCAAGGTATTAGGGGTGAACTGTCGTAGTGGAAGGGGGGCAGGATTACTTGATGAAAGTAAGGCAAATCACCCAAGTCAACAAGACCATCACTCGGGGTAATTGTGGGAGGGGATAGTTTCGTCTTCTCCTCATTCCATTTCCCTCCCCCTTTTCTCCTCGCTTCTCCTCCCCAGCCCCTTGCCTTATGTAACAATTTTGATGTGGGAGGGGAACGTGCCCCATGCCCACCGTATCTAAACCAGGTAAGCACCAAAGTGTATCTGTTACATCCAAATTACATGTTAAGGTTACTGACAACAGATTAGCTACACATATAGCTGAGTCATTCGACGCGGAACTAAAGAGACTTTTCAAGATCCGTTCACATCCAATTCAAATGAAATATTTCTGACAATAGTATTCATAATAATCATCATTCTCCGGCGGACGTGACATTTGCTTAAAGTATAAACTAAAACAAAGTCTGTCATTTTAGATAAAGCAATGCATTTCATTGCTTTACCAACTTCCCCTCTGATCTTTAGCATTTTCTTTTTACCTTAACCGAAGTCTCTCTTTAAATCCAAGACTATCTATAGCTGTCGACTAAATTTCAAAGTCTTAAGGGCCCGAATTCACAAAGGAGGTTTGTCGACAAACCTTGGTTTTCGTGCGTCATATGACGCGTTTTGACGCGTTTTGACAAACCAGGTTTGTAAAAACGCGTCAAAACGCGTCATAATTATGACGTACATTAACCTCGGTTTGTCGACAAACCTCCTTTGTGAATTCGGGCCATAGTGTCTTTGAACTTTAAAGGAAATGTATCCCCTTTGGTAGATTCGACATTTTGTTCGGGCTTAAAAAGAAACGACATTGGAGGTAATTAGAGCATCAAGAAACAAACTTAAGTCAGAAAACATAGAAACACTAGTGACGCAGATTCACAGACACAATAAAATCATACTGTTTTACTTGAAATTATCGATTGCTTTCGGTCCATTGTTATGGTTTAATTATTTGTGTCTGTTAATTATTGAATAGCTTCCATAGTTCTTATAGTCAACAAGTGTGAAAACATGGTAGTTCATATTTTTTCTTCTATTTTCTCCATGGCAGCACTGTTTTAAGAGTCTTCAGCTATATAAGAAGCCCCAATCAGAAATAATAATGAACGGCAAAACGTTGAGACCCTTTCGTATTTAGTGTTGTTTTTAATTAACCTGGCTCTGTATTTTAATTATCTGTTTCTCACTTTATCATCAAACTGGAGAAAAACGACGAGATCATTGCTTAGTTCCTCGATCAGCGGTGAGTTGACCGTACTCTCTTCCTCTCTCCGTCTCTCTCTCTCTCTCCCTCCCTTTCTTTGCTCTCATCTCTCATCTCCTCTCCACCTCTCTTTCCCCTATAATTTTCCACCTTTTCTCTATCTCTCTTTCATAGATGTATGAGTAGGGGCGGGGGCTTTACAATCTCGAAAATTATGAATACCTATATGCGGTAAACCGCAACCTCCATATGAGAAGTGAGGCGATCTATATGTCTTATGCAATCTATTTTGTTTTGATAACTAAAAACTTCTTATTGTCACTTCAACAAAAAAATTAATAGTTTTAACAACTTTCTTTGCTCGAGCGCAAACTTCAGAAGAGTGGAAGGTCGTTAATCGATCAAGCGACGTACGTCAGGATATCCAGTATTTCATACACACTTGTGATTGGAACTATCCCCAAACCCAAAGTAAATTGAATTGGATCCCCACCCCCTCCCCTAGGTCTACAATCATTGTATGAAGCACTGATTTTAAGCGTTAGCTTTAAACTACCCACGTGATTAAATCCGTTAGAATTAGTTTTAGTTTTTATAGACAGGCATGAATCGGGAATGAATGTGAGATTTCCTTCTAATTGTCAATTTATTCACATTTAAATCCTTCCCACTGCCGTTCGGGCGTGTCGTTCTAATTCTGTGGCTCTAAGCATCATTACTAATGGCGCCCTGCCGTATAAAATTATGAAACAGGAAAAACAAGACATTTACAAGCGATTAAATATGCAGAAACATTTGTAATTGGCGATATGTGCTTGCAAGTCTCCTGGATTGTTTGTTGTTGAGAGACTTAATTTGGAAACGCTTTGAGCTTATTTAATCTCACCCTAATGATATAGATCGTGCCATAGGAGGTAATATCTTCATTCGAAAGATAAATAAAACCTGCTCTAGTTTAGACATTCTATGTCAAGCAGCTTGAAATAAAAATACTTATTCACCATAAAAGTCTTCTATACATATAATTTTGCTTTCGTATCTTTTTTACAAGCACTATCCTCTGAAACTATCATCTTTGATGCTTAGCGTCACACTGCGGGGAGCTTTTGAAATAGATAACTGCTTATTGATCGGCTTATTTCTCGCCTTTTCAGCCTAGATAAACCGCCCACCTGCACCCATCATCCACAGAACTCTTAAATAGTTCTGTGCCATCATCCCACTCCTTATCTATATACACTCGATGGGAATGGCGCCTCTAGTTGGACTTCGAGTGATCACGTGACCAAATTTAAAGAGATTTAGACTTAAAAGACCCGAATACATATGAATAAAGAATGATCTATCTAGTATGAACTGTTCAATATTCAACACAAAAAGACCTCAGTGACCTTTATAAGTTTCTCTTTAGAATATAAAATATTATCTGTGCTTTCATACTGCTTTTTTATATTCTCGCGAAATGTTAATAAAGCTTATACCTTCAGCAGATGATTAGCAGCATGATGAACTTTAAAATACAGTCAGCGATTCACTTTCAACGCAAGCTTCTTATTCAAATTGAAGATGTAATGACATAAATCATTTCCAAATGGTTGTGTAGGAGGCAAAGCAGCTTTAACAAAAAATAAAGCAAAACATTTCTCATAAATATCAATTTTTATATCAGGTAGGCCTCAGTCTAACTACCTTAATTTGTTCACGTTTTAGTCTGGCGTTTTAGACGGGGCAAGGAATAAGGAATGCTGTTCTAGCTATAGCCTAGTGAAATCCAATGAAAAGTTGTGGTTTGAATCCCATTGAAGAGAGTGGATTCCACTATTTTTAGCCATGATTTCCACTTCTAAACGGAGTAAAATTATATGCCTAGTTCATTCTGAGTTTAAAATACTACTTTTTTTAATGCATTGTAAGGTGAATTTATGAAGTTTTAACTTTATTTTATTTTTGCAATTTAAATGTTTTTAACTTTGTTTGCCCTCAGTTAGTTAGTTCCATGATGGGAAATTGCTTTTCTAATCATGTTTTTTTATCCTGAATGTTTCAATAAGAAAACAAATACAAAATATGAATAAATGGATGAATACATTTATAAATTAATGAATAAACATTTAGATGAAGAATAAATAAATAAACTAATCAATGAAAAAGTCAATAACTTAGTTAATAAATAATTAAGATTAAGTATATAATAATAATTATAATATTCCGCTTTTATATAGCGCCCAATACATCGATACAACGATGCGTCTAAGCGTTTGACAGATACATCATATATGAAAAAGTACAAAAAAAAAAAAAAAGAAAACGATGACTTTTCCAAATGGATCAATGCAATGTTTTTGATTGGTCTGTTGTCAGTCTGCTTTTGGTCTGCCGTCCGTCTCGTTGGAGTGAATGAAGTATCATACTGACTCCTAGATGAGAGGATTACACTCCTGAGCATTTAGAAAGTAGGCTGAAAATACGACACAGCTTACCAATCTCCGAGAGTAAGTGTGTAGGTTCTCCAAGAGCAATGGTTTCTAACTTGTCAATATTAGTGCCTTTAGGGCGTTTCCCTGTAACATTATTATAAAACAAAAATCAAGGAATACGTAGTCTAA